TCACACACATACACACACACACACACATACACACACACACACACACACACACATTCCATCGATAGAATGAGCAAAAATGGAATGAATCTTCCGGTGAAACGTGGCAATATACACAGCCACCTTTTGATTTGCTCTTTCTATCGATCCAGGTACCGTGCAGTGAGCCGCGAGTTTGAGACTTGGCTATCGGCCAAGGTTGGAGACATATAGTCTCTCTCTCTCACACACACACACACACACATGTAGTAGTAGTGAATGTACCTAGGTTCTAGCAGTAGATTTCCTTTGATTTTTTTTCTTTTATTTATTTATCAGTTCATTTATTTAATTCCTTTCGTTTTTTCCATTGATGAAGGTATCATGAGGTAAGCCGCACGGTTGTAGGCTTACCTGTTCCCTTCTCTCTCCTTGTCGTCGCCCTCATCGTCGTCGTAGTCGGCTTCAGTCCGTCCTTCGGTCAGGTAAGTATCTCTTCAACTTCTTCTTCTCTCTTTTCCCCGGCTCACGGCCCCTTTCTCTCCGCCTTTTCTCCTACTCCCTTTTCTTTCTTCTTCTTTCTCTTCTCATCTCGCCTCTCCCTCGCTAGTCCTTCGTCCTACTGCTCGATGCCGCCTTTTTTCACGCTTTCTCTCTCTCACTCTTGCCACACTTGTTCAGTTCACGTGCTAGTCTGTTCTGCCATAGACTGCGCGCCTACTCCGAGTTTGTGCGTGCCGCTATTTTTCTGCGCTTTTCCCTTCTTCGCCCTTTCTCTACGTAGCTTCCCTATGCCCCAGCCTTCGCCTTCTCTCCTTGTTGTTGTTCGTTGTTCGTATCGCCCGGTCTCGCGGCGAGGTTCCGTCGGCCACGATGGCGCGGCTTCCTACTAGATGAACCCGCCCTGAGTACTGGGCAGGATTCATTTGTCGGGTACCCTAGGGGCAGGTGGGTCGTTGAGGGAAACCAAAAGGTAAACGAAAATTTTAAAAATAAAAAAAAATTCTAAAAATAAGGAAAACTGAAATAACAATCTAACGAGGTTTAACCCACAACTTMTTTCCTACCTTGCCAAGTGTCGGGGTTCACGACACTCGGCTCCAAGTCAACCACTAACCTTACTTCTACTCACAAGGTCGAGGGTTCAAGTCCCGGTCTACCGTGACCTGGGCAAAATTTGAGCCTGAGCTCCCGTCAAAAGGGAGTTAGTCTCAGCGGTAAGTAGGCTTCGATCCGTGTATCYTTTGRTTAGCAGACAACCCCTAAACCTACWGAGCTAGCTCCCACTTCGAATAGAARRGGAGCARCTCAGTACRTAAATAGTAGTGGCTCAGTCCTACCAGTGGTCTKAACCCTTTTCTTGASTATATGTGRGAGTGTGTAGTTTCACCGSTCTRTAWRYCAACCTGCTTGCTTRTTAGTTTGTGTGTGCATGTGACCCACAGGGMTTTCRGTGGACTGGTAGGCCCGAAGGTCCGSTACGTGGCCRCGCCGTTTAGAGGGTTGTGACGSGGTCRTCCTAGTGGCGGTTAGGCCAGTGCCTAGTTATGGTCGCGACATTCGAGGGTCGCGACGGAAAATACTCAAGTGGCGGAAAAGATCCGTTATACCTTGAGCGTGACGGACAACATTCAAGTAGTAGGTAGGCTGGTACCACACCTCATCGAGGTAGACACGGCGGTACTTGACTCGGAGGCCGAGTCGGGGAAGACAAAACCAAAAATCTTTAGAATACCTGGTACCGGAAGACAGATAGGCACTAGACCAAGTCTCAATGCGTGTCGTAGACCTACCAGACAGATCATTAACGCAACTGACCCCTCGACCTTTTCTGTCGAGGGGTATTACTACTGATCCTAATTACCACGGCGCGCGTCATAATAACGCGCGCATACACTTAACGAAATTTTCTCGTCGATTTTGCCCCGGCCTCAGTGGCCGAGGAATTCGCTTCCAGTGTTACGCCAAGCGTGCACACCCCCTTCATTCCAGACTGGCTCCGGCATGGTAGCCGGTGTCGTTACTGTGTCGAATGCAAAAACATGGCAAAATACCCCTTGTAAGGGTATTTTGTCCGACAGTATCCCAGACCTCATTAAGCGACGTCCCCGTCGCTCGGAGAACTATATGCACATAAAGGTGTTTTCTGATAAGCAAATCATCAAATCCGAATCCTGGAATGAAATGTGGTTTCAGGATTGACGCCGTCACCTTACTTTTCATTATTACTGTCGGGATTTTAACCCGGGTCTCCCACATAAAATATAATGACTGGAAGTGGGGATACTTGATCTGTACTACAGTACATGAAATAGTTAAGTATGACAACGCACCTTTCCTTCCCCCACACCCTTAGTCTTTGGCCCAGGTATTCGTTGGTTGTTTTCAGGGTCGGTGTCCGCGTGCGAACTTAACCCGTCAAACGCGGGTCCTAACCGAGACCTTGGTTGTTCAACTCTCGATATTACTTGTCCAAAGTTGCTTGTTGTCCTGCCCGAAGCCTAATACAGGAGGACAACGGTCTCCATCTCGACCCACAACAGTCCTGCTGATCAGGCCGGAGCTGCAGTCCACCACGTTGTTGCTTATCTGTGGTTACCCTCGTTGGTTGTGCAACGATGGGTTAGTCATCCTATGAATTTTCAAACTAATCTCTACCCCTTCGACACCCACTTGAATACGTTCCTTCACTGGGGTGGCCATCCCCTCTAGCCCCTATTCTAGGCCATAGTCGAAGGGTCCGCTGCCTGGTTATGCTAGGTCAGCAGCCCACAATGGGAGTTACGTCCCAATAATGCCAATTTTTCACCAAAGACTTGGTTGTTTTATGCCCTCAGGTTAACCCTTGAGGTATATGAACGATGCTTTAAATAACCAAATAGATGAGAATTTTTAATAAATTGAGCATTCGTCAGGCTGCCACTCAGGGTTGTGCCCTCCAAGTCTTTGATCATAAGCTCGGTGAGGCACGTACTTCGGGGTCATTTTGTATATATATATATATATATATATATATATATATATATATATATATATATATTGCGATATTTGACGATATACATATATATATATATATGAAAACATTATTTTTATATATATAACCATTATTTTTAAGATAAACTTTTATTGAGTCTTTGCTTGTCTGAAACATACAAAACAATTATTCACTCAAATTCATTTCGTAAAACACAATGTTTTACCTCATGAGAGGTATTTGCTCATACCATAGCATGGCATTTCCAAATTATGTACATAGATCAATCCGGCATCAGATCACTCAATCTTCTGCCGTCTTCCATACATCCACCGATCCACCCGTCCCTCTACCACTATTCCAGATCTCAGAGGATCTTTAAACAGTGATAGACGAAGGGAGGTACTCATCCATAGAAGAGACTTGACAATCATAGACACGGGAATGCACACAATGTGAAGTGTTTCAAGGTCACCAGCTTATACACCCCTGATCTCATACATATAAGTATAAAATACAAGTAAGATACAAGTGTCATCAGTGACTCACCCACTCACCCTTATCTATTTCCTCTTAAATGTTCATACACCTGTCCTACTAAGTCTTAACCTTTCCTACTTACTCATACACCCTCTCTTTCTCAGTTCACATCTTTGATACCTTCTATCCTCATAAGTCAATTGTCAACCCCAGCATCCTATGAAGTGTCACTCTGCCACCCTCAGGTGTTCTAGGGATCACCTACCCATTGCGAGCTACCAGCCTTCCTCTTAAGTCAAGTCTGACCAACCCTCTCCTAATATACTCAGCCAATACAGTACAATCCCTGAAATGGCCCTTTTCTGTACAGAAGAAGCATCCCTGTTGGTCCTTGTTATATCTGGCTCTTTTGGCCAGTGGTCTTCTCGAGGTTTCCATCTGACTTTCTGCCCCTTCATATGCTTCCAAGCCAGGCTGTTCACTCCTTTTTATCCCCTTCTGTTGAGGTACATCTAGTCTCTCATCTTTGTCTTCCTTTGGGGATGAAGGTACATCAACTTTGGGTCCTCCTTGTGGCTCTCTGGTGGATGGTCCTTCTCCTCTAGCCTCAGTCAGCTCGTCCAACTTCCCTCTTCCTTCCTGAGACAGAGGGGCTCTTTCTCCTCCTTCTGCTAGTCTGACCTCAAGTCCCTTTTCCTCCTGCCTTTCCACCACTTTCATGGTTTCATCCTTCTTCCCCTGATGGCTCAATTTGAGCTTCTCCATTCCCTTCAATATCTCACTCCATTTTTTCTCCCACTCCTGTCCCAACTTCTTTATTTATGAGATTTCAGTGTCCAGGTCCAGTCCTAGCACGCTGACCTCAGAGCCCAGACCATCCACCTTTATTTCCATCCTTCCTCTTGTGGCCGCTTCATTCTCCAATTCTCGGCCTTTCACAGTCAGGGCGGCCCCCAATTGGCTCACTTGTTTCTGCAATTTCACATTTTCCTTCTTCAGCTCCTTCACTTCCTTCCTCATCTCTTCCATGTCTCCTACCAGCTTCGCCACCTGTGTATCTCTCTTTTTCCTTCTTTCTTAACCTGCTCATCTCCTTCAAGAGCCCAGGGATGTAATCCAAGAACCCTTGAGTGAAGAGTTCAGTGCTGCCCTTGAGTTCTGCCTAGAGTCCCTTTCCTACTGCGTCCAAGTCTTCCCCAACCTCTTTTACTCCACCTTCTCCTTCCATCTTCCCCATCTTTCTAGCAAACTCAGCATAATCCTCAAAGAGCCTGGTGCATTTCTCATCCAACAAGTTGTGCAGCTCCATCATTTTTTGCAAGTTATCTGAGTGACTTGAGCTCACCACCAGCTCTGAGAGGAGCATCCTCTCAAATCTGACATCCCATGTAGAGTTCACAGGCAAGTCGTTATACTGCAGCATCTTGATCATATAATCCCTCCATCCTTTCCTCTTCCTGTTCTTTTCAGCATTTTCCTCCTTACTTACCTGCCCTTCCTCCACCTCTTGTCTCAACGGGAACGGCTCTCCATACTCTACTATTCTCTTTCCCACTTCAGCTTCCACTTCCTTGACCCTTCTCAACTTCCCCTCCTTTTCACCCTTCTCTCCTTCCTTCCCCCCTCTGTCTCCAATTGGCCCCCTTTCCATCAGTCCTCTCAACTCTTGGAGCCCTGCCTCTTTCCTGGATCTTCTTCCCTTTTCCCATTCCCTTTGCTCCTCCTTCCTCCTCAGTCCCTTTCTCCTGTACCCCTTTCCTTCCAATCTCCACTGGTCCAGTGTTTTTCTCCCTTGGTGTCACACTTGCCCCCTTGCTCTCTTTCCTTCTTTCTGCTTCCACCTCCTCTTTCTGTTCATCTCCTTCTGCCTGATCAGATCCCTTGTTGCTGCTCTTGGGGGCGACCCTCGCCTTGTTCTTCAATCTTTTCAGAGGCACATCCTCCTCCTCCTCCTCCTCTGCCTCCTTTCCCTGCAGCTCACTCATCTCTCTTCCAATCCACAACCTTTTTTCCTGCAATCTTTCCTTCCTTGTCTGATCCTGTCTCGCCTGGGTGTATGCAATCCCCAATTCTGTTGTTATTCTCTTCCAGGTTCGACTTCCTTCCACGATCCCTCTTACTTCCTCCTTCTGTTCTTGCAATCAACTGTTTTTTTTTCTCTTTTTCACTCCACTCCCCCTTCCTGCGGCCAACTGCAAACTGTCGATGAAGTCCTCCAGATTTGTTCCATCAAATTTCAAGTCGTCCTCAACATCATCCCGTGGGTAGGTCCCCATTTCCTTCCACAACCTCACCTTGCAAGCCTTCCACCTCGTACATCCTGCTGCCGTTCCTTCAATCTTTCTCTTGTATACTCCTGTTCCAGTCACGTTTGCGAGTTTTTCCTTGTCTCCCCACTCTCTTCTGAACCTGTACTCCTCAAAATCTCGTAAGAACACTCGCAGGTTATCTCCAGCCCTGTAGACGAGCAACACCTTCATGCTCCTTGAGACTTTCTGATCCCTCCTCTGCCCGCCCTTTCTCAAGGTAGGTCCAGAGGGCCCTGCCACCGCTCCTCTCTGCGCCATGGCCTCTTTTTTCCAAGGGTCACGCCTGCTCACAGAGAAGGAGCAAATGACAGGTACAAGGGTCAGATCATCATCAAGGCAACATTTCTTGTTAGCACAAGTTTGACAATGCCCTCCTTTATCAGGCACCCACATACACGCACATATATATACATATATACATATATATATGTATATATATATACATATATATATATATACATACATAAGCGTATATACACACACATAACCCCACTTATACCCCTTTGCATCCATCTATGTACGCATACACACATACATATATATATATGTATGTATGTATCCATATATGCATGAGCATAAACTTGGGTAATTGGGTACATACCTACATAGAAACTGATACACATATGCATACCTATACACTTTCCCAATCTACCCAAGCTTTTCGTATCGTGGTTGAGCTTACCTCTTCTCTGACTCGGAACTTCTTCAGTCTAGATCCTGAGACTCAGTCCTTCCTTGGAGTCCTATCCATCTCATCTAGCTCGTAGGCTCCATGAAGTCCCTGCTTCCTGACTTTGAATGGTCCAAGCCAACGTTTATCCAATTTCCGCGACCACTGCATTTCCAGAGAGGAATCGTAGAGTAGCACTGTCTCGCCAACTTGTAGAGGTTTGAGTCTCACTCTAGGTAGTTTGTCCCACCTTTCATTATCGTTTCCCCTGCTGTCTGCAACGTTCATGGCCGCTTCCTGCACCCTTTCTTCAGTGGCGCTGATCTGCCTTGCCCTTAGATCTAGTAGTTCATCCAAAGTCAAATTGTTTTCCAGGTCCTGCCTGCGCCAAGTTTTCAGGAAGCTTTCAATCGGAAATGTGGCGTGATGCCCATACCAGAGTGTCGCAGGCGCATACCCGGTCTTATTGTGATGTTCTCCACAAATTACAGTGATGTTCTCCCCAAAGAACACTGTTCTTAGGAAGTTTGGCCAGAGGTTCGGCTTCACACTGGTCCATTTGGCCAGTAAGTTAGTAATTGTACTATGGCCTCTTTCGACCGGTGCATTAGCCTGTAGATGAGCCTGAGTCGTATAGTTACCTATGACCCCCAATTCCTTCAGCAGCTCCTTCACTTCCCCACATGTGAACTCAGACCCCCTGTCCAACGTGAATTTCAATACGAACGGATATCTGAGATAATACTCTTTAATACAATCTGTCAGCGTTGTCCCGGTCTTGTTCCTGATCGCTCTGCCATCAACGAATCCAGTAAGGTTGTCCCTTGCGTCAAATATATAATTATATCCTCCAAGACCTAGTGGCATAGCCAGTAGATCCAGGTGAACAACCGCCCCTACTTCCTTGATATATCTAGGATGTAGAGGTTCCTTGTACCTGATAGACGATCGTTCTTGATAGGGCACACACGACTCACAGTACTTTCGTATCATCTCAAACATCCCTTCCCAGTAGTAGAGTTCCATTGCCTTTTTGTAAGTAGTCGCGAAACTCCGATGTCCTCCGACTATCCCATCATGCAACGCAGCTACTACGTCAATCTGACGATTCCTCCCACATACGACACGCCGCGGCGGCCCCCTCTTGTCCCTGATGAACAAGTGGCCACCTCTTACCACATAGTGGTCTCTCATCTTGAGAGTTTTTTCACTCACTTCTCTCTCTCTTTTATCTCCTAAGAGGAGCAACCCCATTTTCAAATAGAACTCATCGTACTCCTCCTTTCTAATTCCTCTAAGATCTCTTCTTGTTCAAATTCTCCTTCCTTCTCTTCATCAAATTCGTAATCATCCCCAATAACTATCTCATCATCCTTTACCATTCCTCTCTCATCATTTGCTTGGACCTGTAACAGCGAATTTGTCAGGTAGTACATTCTTTCCATCATGGCTACCTGCTCGTCTGCCTGTTGGACTCCTGCTTCGATCGTTCGCGGCTCATCCATTATCCTATAGTTCTCTGTCAGAGCCAACTCCATCATCCACTCCGTATTTCTCTCGCCCCAAGAGTCCTCTTCCTCTAACAGTGTGAGTATCAGGGAAGGCTCTCTCATAAATTCGGGTGGTGGATGCCACATTGGATTTATTCTCCTCATCTTCTTACTTTCGACAAACATGAACCAACAGTTCACATGAGTTCGCATGTCTTCCCCTTCTTAAAAAAAAACTTCCACCGGAGGCGTTTCTTCATTAGATTCTCTTTGGTTTCCCCACAATTTTTTTCATGTCGTCCGCCCTATTCTTGTTCCTAGGGATCCGTTCTAACTGGAAGTCGAACATCCAGATATAGGTGAGTCATCTGGCTATGGTCGGATCTGAGGGCGATAAGTTCTTGAGCGAGTACACAAGCTCCGTTGGATCGATCATGAACACATACCTTCTCCCAAAGAGGCAATGCCTAAAGATTCTTAGGCAATGTAGGACTGTCAACGCTTCCCTTTTAAACTGCGAGTAGTTCCTTTCTGTCGAGTTGAGCGTCCGAATTTCAAACCTTAGTTGCATTTCCTTTCCCTCACTGTCTGCCTGAATCAACACGCCTCCCAGGGCGGTTGGCCCAGCATCGGTTTCAACTATGAAGGGTCTTTTCATAGTCGCATCAAAGTCTGGTACCCCCAGTACCAGACCTCCCTCTTTGAATTCCTTCTTCAATTCCTCCACCACTTCTTCTTGATGGTTTTCCCATTCCCATTCCTGATTCTTCCGGACTAGCTTCCTTAGATGTTCTGTTTTACTAGCAAACCTTTCTATGAATCTCCTCCAGAACCCACAGGTACCAAGAAAACTTCGAACTTCACCTACATTTCTGAAGGGAGTGGGTCATTCTAGGATCTTATTGGTCTTCTTCTTATCAGGCCGTCGACCATGTTCATTGCAAATGTATCCCAGAATGGTTGCCTCTTTCATGCAGTGTCTTGACTTCACACCACTGGCGGTGAGGTTGTATTCTTCTAGTCGTGATATGACTTCTCTCAACCCTTGAACATGTTCCCATACAAACCTTCTCACCCCTGGAGCCACTTCTGACTCATCTTTCTCAATCGGGCCCTTAACTGCAAGATCATCTATGTACGGTTCAGTGATCTGAGAGTTGATGGGCTGCATCACTCTGATCATGCTTCTTTGCACCATGGCCACGGCATTGGTCCATCCTTGCGGTGCGACATTCATATGGACTAATCCCCTTGGCGTGTGCATTGACGTGATGGGACGGTCTGCCGGATAGACTGGAAACTGATCGTATCCAGAATAGAGGTCGATGAGGGACACAATCGACCTACCTGCACAGGCTTTTGGCAACTGGTCAGCGTTAGGCAAACCTCTTGCATCCCTTACAGTTACCGCGTTCAGTCGTTGGAGGTCTTGCACCCATCTGAATACTCTGTTTGGCTTTACAAACAGAACCATGGAGAGGCATATGGTCCGCTGGAATATTCTGCAACATCCGTATGGATTTTTCCATCTAGGTATTCTACCACCCTTCTGCGATCCTCTGGGTTGTGATACTTAGCTCCTCGGACATTCCATGGCTCGTGAGGTACAGTATCAATGCGGATCATTTTTATCTTGTCCACATCCAACCTCCCACGCTGATCATCGTTAAAGGCATATGCCCCATGCTTTTCTCGTATCAACTCCTTCACCAATTCCTCCTCTTGCCTTGTCAGAAACCTAGATTCCCCTATTATCAATTCTTTCTCAGTCTCATCGTCGATACAACAAGGCCCATTCTGGATGTCTTCCCTCATTCGTTGTATCAGTTCTCTTTCCTGATCATAATACACCCCTTCTTCCCGACTCACTAGAACTGACACAGGGTGACTCTTCTTATCTACCGTCTTGTACCTCCTTTTGGAGCCCTGCTTGAGCCCACCCCTAAAAAATGCTGACCGGCAGCTTGAGCATTTGGCGCATGCGGCACTATTATCTGAGAAGAAGGAGACGGTCGGTAAGCGAGATCGACCCTTCTCCCTTCTGGATCGTCTTGTATCCTTTCTGCTAGCGCCCTGACTGCGTCCGGATCAGCCATCCTATAGGCCGATACCAGTTCCACTGCGTCACTGATATTAGTTAGGCTCAGTACTAGCCCTTTAGCTTCCTCATCATCTGACTCCTCTTCTCCTTCGTCCCATTCCAGTTCTCTCCTCCTATTCTCTGATTCCTTGAATGTGTAGGATCCGGTATTGAGCCTGTTCTTCGAGCTCTGTGGGCCGGTATTCCTACAGGTGATAACCTCAAAGTTCCCACTGGCAGGATCGCACAAGATGACGAACATGGTGTGGTCGTGCTTGTTCATAATGAGCGATTCGAATCTGCACAGGAATGACCTGCCCAATAATATTGGGAGATCCAAGCTGGGCATGACGTAAAAACACGTACGTATCTTGACTCTTCCTATCTCTATCACCATATTCGACGCAACCCCCGTGTACCCGGTCTTGCCGCTGGCTCCATTGAGAAACCCGCAGTCGTTTTCATCTACCTCCAGTCCTAGTTTCACCGCCGTTTCTCCGTTTATAATGTTCATTTCTGCCCCGGTGTCGACCATCCCAGGACACATCTTTCCTTTTATCATAACATCAATGAATCCGGTTCCTACGAACTTCCAGTCCATTTTGCTTCCAGCCACGCTCCAGTTTGCCTCCTTGGGAATCAGGTTCCCCATCCTAACCGAGGCCACTCTCCGGCGTGATAACCTTGCCTTTACCATTTCTCTTAACTTAGGAGCCGAAGCTAGAATTTCCTTCAGATTTAGCAATTCGTTGTGACCTTCTAGTAACTTATTTACTAGACCTTCCAGGTCCACCCCTTCTTCAATCGACGTCTGGTACTTTCTCTTTTTGCTTGGCGCGTCGTCCTTTTTGGACCTTCCTTCCTTAACTTCACCTTTCCTTCTCTTAACTCTGATTTTCGCCTGCCTCTCTTCTTCCTCCCTAATTTTCTCATCCTCGTCTTCATCACCCTCTACCATGATAGGCGGTTCTTCCTCTGCTTGCTGGGAAGCTTGAGCTTGTTCCTTTTGAGGATTCCCTCCTGCGGGTCTTCTTGTAGCGAACGGAATCGTTCCTCTTACACTTCTTTGACCCCCACTGTTCTTTGCGGCCATGTTGGCCCTCAACATTCTTGGGTTGGGCTCATTTGGCCCATCTCCCGATCCTCCACGTCCCATGGTAAATACTTTCGGGCACCCAGCCCCTTCTTTCCCCGCTTCTTCACATATCCCTTGAAGCCTCAAATGCAGCCTTTACATCTTATTCACTAGATCCTCCATCCTATCAAACGTGTCCCTGACGTTAATCCTAACGTCATCCTCTCCTGCTTCTTCTTCCACAAGGGGTATGTCTTCCTTGCTTCCTTCGATTCCCATCCTGCTCAGTTTTTCTTCTAGTTCAGTTACATCTTCCACCCGTACGACCGGTCCTTCCTTTTCTTGCCACATTCTGAACATTCCCACGGCGTTGGGACCTAGCGCGGCTATGCGAATGGCTTCTTCTCTAGTGTCTCCCGGAATCTCAGGATCGATCGCCCTTCCTGTTCTGTCAAACACCTCGCTATCTATGTTTGATGTTATACGTCTATCGCGCTCGTCAAGTTTCCTGATGTGGCATCGCTTTACTGTGTGTCCTTTGATTCCACAGTGGGTACAAATGCATTCGCTGTAGTCTATCCATCCCCTGCCAAAACCTTGTCCGCTCCATGACCCATTTCCTCTATCAAACCCCCTTCCATATCCTTGGTCGTAACCACGACCATACCCCTGCTGGTATTCTTGCCCTACCGGATTCCATGACCCATTTCCTCTATCAAACCCCCTTCCATATCCTTGGTCGTAACCACGACCATACCCCTGCTGGTATTCTTGCCCTACCGGATTCGCACCTCCTTGGAGCTGACCCCAATTTCCTCCTTGATACCCACTTCCTCTATTTCCTGCTCCTCGTTCCTCTGGTCCATGATTTCTACTAGCATTCCTACCTCTTCCACGTCCTTGTCCTTGTCCTTGTCCTTGGGACCTGTTCTGGTTTTGGTCACCCTGGCGAATCGATTCTGGTTGATTCTGCCCTGTTAGTTGAAGTTGTCCCGTGTTTTGGTCTCCTCCCAAATTATGATTCTGGGGTAACATGGGATATGGACCCTGTGTAGGCCATGGTCCTACCGGGAAGTACCCAGGCCATGCCCCCATAGGCGGACCCACGGGCCATTGACCATATTGTGCTGTGCTCATTGACGGCTCCTATCCATATTGGACTATCGCTTGTTGGGTTATTTGTCCTTTTCCAGACCCTTGTCCTCCGATAGCGATATTTTTAGCCTTCCTCTGACCCTTGGTCAGTTTGACCGTCACTTCTGGTTCTCCATCTTCGGCCCCTTCCTCTCCATCTTCCTCTTCCTTCCTTCTCTTTCCTGATGGTTGTGTCACTGTTAACACTTTCGATGGTGTCACTCTTTCCCTAAGCTCTTTTATCTCATTTGCCATATTTCTCAACACTCCTCCAAGTACACTATCCGTTCCTTGGACCGTCCCTACTGCCTTTCTTTTCTTTCGTTCGACCTTGATTTAGTGATGGAACATTTGGTCCATGTCTCCCGCCGCGATGTTCCTCTTTATGGTTTCCCGGGTTGTCTTCCTCCCGGCGGCTCCCCCTCGGGTTAGTTCCATCGCCTCATACCCAGAGAATTTCCCTATGAATATGACGCACTGCATTTCTTCAGACAGTCTCGGGACCCTCTCGGCTGTCTTTTTGAATGTGTTGGCGAACGCCCTGATCGTGGTGAAGTCATCTCTGTTCATGTTATAGAGATGGTCAATCGTGAGCAAGCCATCTCCTGACTTAAGCGTCTTTTGCATGCCCCTTTTAAACTCAGCCCAATCATTGTTGGACTTTCTCACTATCTCTTCTACGTCAGAGGTGTATTCCCACCATACGTACTCGAACAATTGGGCAAACTTTTCAGTCGGTGTCAATTGGTTGAAGATTTGCTCAAGTAGTTCTAACCAATGAGTCACCCTATCCCCCTTGAAAGGGAAGATCTTTATTCTCGGTAGGTTAGACCTCTTTATCGTTCTCTTCTCTAGTAATTTAACGATTTCCGCTGCGGTGATCGGCGACCCTCCATTGGCGCTGGCATCGCCCATCCTTTCCCTTTTTCTTTCTTGATTCCTACTAAACCGTAGACCCTGTTAAGACACACAAAACGACCATTGATCCACCATCCTTATCACTATCTTGACGTATCCTTTACTCTTGTCACTTGTCCTTACCTTATAGGACTTCTCATACCCCTTTCCTCTCAACCGAGTATTTCTTCTAGGAGCACCCAGTCCCCGTGCCAAAAGCTTCTAACCATACCAAATAAAGAAGGGATTTTATCTATAAATTTTTCAATACATGTCTCCCGGCAAAGATTGCGCCAGTATGTCGAGATATCTTCAAAATGGTAGATGCGTAGGTACGTGTTTACTACGCATAGTACGTTATAGAAGTCCCTTTCTTTTAATCTTGGTCTCATTTCTAAGTATAGACGGTAAACAACTTCCGACGCCTCGAACTCGAAGCTCATCTCTGGAACCGATCGTGTTGCGAGTACCACTCGCTCCACATTTTTTATTCCCCAAAATGTTTCTTCAATTACGAAATTCGGAAGGGTGGCCTTTATGGACCTTGTCGGATATGTGAATTCGGCTGCCCACTTAGCATCGATCGTTTTTATAACCTCCGCTTCTTCTCCCAGTACATTTTCCTTGAAAACGCGTCAAGGGTCATTCCGGCTATCAACACGTATTTAGAGACGGGGCGGCTTTCCCCTATCGCAAGATCGATCGAGTGTGCCCTCCAGAGAAGGGCCGGTAGATAAAGTGTCACCTTTACTATTGCCTGCCTTTCCCTTGTGGTTCACCCAGTTTCTGTCCAAAGGAAGGTTTCCTGTCCTATTGGTATCCAACACCATGAGTCTATTTCTTCATCCAGATCTATCGTTCTCTTTGGCAGTGTCATTTCAACCCCCCCCTTCCTTTGGCTTGGGCAGGTTGATCAGAAAACTCCGATCAACGAACCACATTAAAGGAGTCATCCTGGTATTCCTGTTACAACAGCCAAAGAAAGAACCTTTCCTTTTTTAGTAACCGCTCAATTTTCATTTTTCAATAACTATCTTTCTCAGTCTTTCCTAAGCACCCCTTCCTATTTGATCGAGGATCCCCTGCTTCAGTTCCTCCCAGTAGACATGCCTATTTGCCCAATCGTGTTGACGTGCATACGAATCGACCCGTGATAGTATGTTTTGTCGATCTCTTCCTTCAATCAAATGCCCTATCTCTAGGTATATGTAGTATACCAGCAGATGGGTAGATGTGTGGTATTCTCTCTCAGGTATCGCCATTGCGGCTTCCGCAGTCATTTCCACTCGGGTCCTCCCTCCGAAGGCTGCATCTATAATGAACATGGGGAGGGTCCCTCTTAGATACGCTGCTGGCAGAAGAAATTCGCTTGCCTTCCTTACCCTCACAGTTCCTATGACCCTCTCAAATCCTTTCAGACTAGCATCCATTCTTCTAGATTCGAGCGCGGATTTTGCTATCCATAATAGTATCGAGAGAGATCTATTAATGTATAGTACTAAATTTATTATGATAGCTTGCAGATTTTCTGATGCGATGTACAGGATAACCCTCTCTACCGCACAGTTTTCGTTTTTAACCCATCCAAGCTCAATCCAGATGAAAGTTTGTTCCCCTACAGAAATCCCCCAACAATACCCTGTCTCTTCATTCTCTTCATGGCGACTAGGAAGGTTCATCATAAGGTCACGCCTCATTTGCATGGGCTCTCTGATCGTGATTTGATATCGGGGAGAAGCCATTTTTTTTTCTTTGGTATACTCCACCTACTACACAACACAAACCAGCCCACATCCTTCCATCAGACTTTCAACCCTAGGATCTGACTAGTTTTCCCTTTTTATTCCGCCACCTTCTTTGACACTTTTGACCCTTATATAATCTTCTTATACAACAAGTAAGATACTAACCCACAGATCTCTAACTGACACAATATAAACATTAGGAGTGATAGGCACATCCTCCTATCAGGCGACGCAGACTGCGAAACCACAGGAGGATCAGGTACACGTGGTACTTCGCGGGGTCCTTGTTGGTGAGGAGAGGGAAGGACGGTCAGATGCCTCTCTTGTGACAAAGGGTAAGGGCTATGATGCGGGCGACTAGGCAGCTCGAAGCGTGGTGGGGATTCTCCGTAACGCCTTGCATACCTATACGAGTAATATTCCATTTCGTCAGGGTCAGGGGTATGCATGCGCCTCTCCTCCCGATACCGTCTCGCCCTCAATCCTTCGTCCTTCTCTTCTAGTCCTTCATCATCTTCTTTCCACTTTTCCCTTTCTCGGGTCAAGTCTACATGCCTTTCAGGCGCCTTCCCTTGTCTGCCGCCTCTTCCTCTACCAGTTCCCGTCTCACGGCCCTTAGGTGTCATATTTGTTAACTCTTAGTATAAGTAGGACAATAGTACTTTTAGTCCCTATCTTACACACTGATTTATTTGGAACAACTATTCGTCACCAGCTATCTAAGTTACCGTATTCTACTTAGAGTCTTAGTTAATTACCTGACTTTTTAATAATTGTCGTTCTGCCTTGATCTTGCTTTACCCGAGTTCCCTCACTAAGGACCTCGACTAAAACGAGATCCCCGGCAACGGTGCCACCTGTCGCGCACGGCGGTCCCACACCCAGACGTAAAGTAGTTTTTGGTGTTGGACCTCACGGTCGTGTCATGCAGAAGTTTCTTCTTGTCACTTTACGCAATACCAACTCCAACCGTGCGCGCGTGCTATACCTCTCGCGACTCCCTACGACAGGTTAGGGATTCCGCGAGGTACAACTTTACCTTCATATGAGGGAGCTGTCATCATCCCTTAGGTGGGCGTATCCCTGCTGAGCTAATGACCCACGTGCGAAGGCTTTTATATGCAATCGCAGAGGTAGGTCAGCCGAGGGCGTTTTCTCGATCACCGTAGCATAGGCATACGCGTCGTAGAACGCCTTAAGACTGACCCGTATGTCGAGCCCGAAGCGCTAACTCTCCGGACCGACTATCTAATCAAGTCGACCTTTCGGACAGTCTTCCACGCTTAACTAATTATGACAAAGACTCAACGTTTACTTTGCTCATTATGTGAAAAATGTCTGGGTCGATCCCC